ACCGAAATTTAATGTCAACAAAATTCTTTATGGAAACAATGAGAAAAGAAGGATATTTTGAAAAAGAAGATGAAGAAAAAATTTGTAAAAACTATAAACAATGGGAAGGATTATTAAGAGAAGCATTAATAATTTTGTGAAACACTCCAATTGAAGAAACTATAAAAAGACTAAGATTTAGAGAAAGACCTGAAGAAGAAGGTATAAAATATTTTCAAACCTTAACAGAAACATATCAAGAAAATGCTATTAAAATATATCCAAATGTAAAAGTAATTACTAAAGAAACCCTTATTCCAAAAGAAGAAATTAATAATTTTATAATCAATATTATTAATGAAAAGGAAGTATATTCCCGAATCAAAGGATATTACAAATAAAATGTTACCTCAAAAAAAGAGAAAAATAGAAGAGAAGATTACTAACCTGGATATAATAAAAGCAACTAAAACCTGGACAAAAGAAATATTTAAAATTCAGAACAATAGAATTAAAGGAAATAACCTGGAAGAAAAAGCAGCACAAATATTAAAAGCTCAGAATATGATAACTATAATGACAAAAGCTCACCTTTTAGAAGAAAATGAAGAAAAGATGAAATTAAGAAAAATTGTAGGAGATGGAGGAGTAGACTTATTTAGAGAAATAGTAATTCATAATCAAACATTACAATGGATAGCGTAATGTAAAATGACAAAAAGATTAGAAAATAATGTAATAAATGAAATGAAAGGATTATTATCTTCTAGACCTAATACAATAGGATTCATTATATATGGAGGGAAAAAAGGTAACACTGAAATAATGACCGAAACAGCAAATAGTGACATATTTATATGTCATATAGAAAAATTACATACATTGAGAAGTCAAATTGAAAATAACACCTGAAGAAAGGGATAAAAACTACTGCAGTAACAAGAATACATATAGATGAAATAGAAGATGCTGAATTTGATAATTTAGGAAAAATTACTAAAGCACGAAAAATTAAAAATGTAAATATACAAAGTTGGGGGACAACTATATATCAAAATGAGGACATTTTGTTTAAATGAGGGGGAACTGTTACAGAATGAAAATATAATGATAAAATAATATTAAAAACACCTACAATAATTTATAATAACCCTTAAAATAATATTTAATATTAGTTCATATAACAAATAGTAACAATTTAATAACAATATTTAACCTGTAGTATACATTAATTAGTCCCGAAATAGTAGTACAAGATCTCGTGTTCACGTGATATTTAGTTACACAAACATAACTATCAATTTATAACATTTAGGATTAGGAATCACCCTAATATTTAGACTCGATTAATCGTCTCTATTGGCTGACGATTAATCGCGATTAATCGCCAAGTCTAAAATCGCAATTATAATCGCGAGTCAATAATCGCGATTAATTGCTGAGTCCAGAATCACGATTATAATCGTGAGTCCAGAATCTCAATTAATCGCCGAGTCCAGAATCACAATTATAATTGTGAGTCCAGAATTGCAATTAATCGTCAAGTTTATTATGAAATTAAAATCGGAAATAATTATTAATCGCTGCTACATATAAAACTTTTATTTTTATAAGATAATATCAAAAGTGATACTAAGTAATCTTAAAGACAAGAATGAATTGCATACTCTGTAGAAACGGTATATCTATTTCATTAAAATTGAGAGAATGATTAGCATTTGAATTTCAAATGTCTTAAAATATTTAAAATAACTATTATTCGCTCAATTTTGATGGAATTGATCTGTAATTTTTACAGGAAGTGTAATAAATT